CGCAAAATATATTTTATGGATCCCATACTAAGTAAAAATGTTTGGAAAAACTAAAAGCTAAATAAAGAGAGTCGATTTAAAACATTGAAAAAGGAAGCAATAGATTGAAATTGACATATTTATGTGGTTGAGTGGACATTATTATCAATGTTAACCTAGCCTACTTGTGGGTTTGGAGTCTAAGCAACTTTTACCATAACTATTACAAGACTCTAAAAGTAATATTTATGTCCAATACTTAAAGAATAATTGTTCAATTTACTACATAAACGGATTCGACACACACCCTTTCGAACTTTTTCTTTAGTTTAGAATTTAAGTTTTGTGTAGATTTTGAAAGAAAAAAAAAAGTGTTGGTTTGTTTTTGGAGGTTTTGATTTATAGAATTTTGAAAGAAAAGTTAAAAGAGCGAATAGAAAAATTGTTTAATTATTATTTTGCTTGAAATTGACAAAAAATAAATATTTCCATAATTAGAGAAAATATTTGATACCTTGATTGGATTCTACTGTTAGACGAAAATGAAACCCTAAGCTGAACTAACACTGATCTTTTGCTATTGTTACTTTTTCATCATCGGATTATTTTATAAATGTTAATATTTTATTTTCAAAATCGAAAAATAGAAGTTTACTCATCTTACGAGAAATTGCTTTAATTTATTTCGTATTAAAGTACATACGTAGAAATTAATTTATGGTAACAAAAATGTAACAAGTTTGAAATATCAATATATCCGGTTAAAATAATATTTTAAAAACACATTTTAAGCAGTTTTAGAGATTGAGACACAATGACTCCACACGTCATCCCTCTTCTTCAAGTATTGTGTTTCACGGCCAACTAATGATGGTCTGTCAGCAATATATTTAATGAGATTATCGTGACACACTTTTCCTTCTTGGACAAGATCGTGGCAACAAGACTCAATGAGGGTTCCGTTTCCAAAAACAACAGCGATTATATTCAATGCACACTTAGGAGTGATTTTAACCAGACAAGTGTCCCATAATGTTTTTGCTTCAGCTTCTTCTACTGAAAATGCAGGAACAAACGCACACACCAATGCTACAACAATGAATAGCGCAGTAACATGGGAGCTTAGATTAGCCATATTTTTTTCTTATGCTTGGAATTTACCGACTTATTCTTATTGTATGAAAAGAATGTAATGAAGTATATATTTTTATTTGGTATTCTAGACAAGAAGCTATGTAAACTATTTATATGTTATTGAGTATCCAACGTAACTAAAATAAATTACAAAATAAACTTAAGAAATTAATGTGAGTTTTTTAACTTCTTGACAATTAAAAACAACGTACGTTAAAATTTATATTTTCGATCAGGTTTTTTGAAATTTAAATCCAAAAGTAATGCAAGTAGTGATATCAAGTTCAACTTACAAATTAATGATTGAATTTAAAATTATGTCAAAGTAGAAGCCAAATTATTAGATATGAAGTTCAAACTTGATATATATATATATAAGATTTTAAATTAAATAACTACAAGGTTCAAATATTAAGTCCTCTAAATATATTTCACTATGAGTGTTTGAAAGCCTAACTCACATTTATTTTAATGATGTTAGTCAAATGAATAATTATATTTTGAAAAATTAGTTTAATCTAAAAGATTAATAAATGGCAATTGGGTAATATATTCGAAAGGTAGGGATATGGTCTAGATTCATAACTAAATAATTCTGCAAAACTTCCATCAAAAACATAAGATATAATAACTATCAATGACGCAAAAATATATCTTATGGATCCCATACTAAGCTAAACTGTTCGGAAAACTAAAGCCTATTAAGAGAGTTCGATTT